GCCAGACCAGAGAGTCCTGGACAACAGAGGTTCAACCAGTAGAAAATGCAACAGTTTTTGTCTTGCAACTTTAAGATTTTCATTGGTTTTTTTTTTTCCCTCTAACAAAGAAAACTGTTTTTAAAACATTGTTAAACTTCTCCCATTTTCCTAAATGGGAGACTTATCATAGTAGCTCTGTAGTGGTGGGTACGGAACAGTTCCTGAGCAGATTTGGGATGACTCTCATTTTGTGGCAGTAGGGACAGTGCAAGTAACACAGTATTGGACCTTGTTCCATTTAAATTATTATAATTCTTGTACTGTTTGTCGAATGACCATTTAAAAATCTAACGTCAGTAAATAAAATTACCTATGGATGAGGCTTCTTTGTAATAGAATCATAGAACTCGAAAGAACCTAGAGAGGTCATCAAGTCGGGTCCCAAGGACCAGTCAGCATCTAGACTAGACCATCCCTGACAGGTGTTTGTCTAACCTGCTCTTAAAAATCTCTAATGATGGAGATTCCACAACCTCTCTAGGCAATTTATTCCAGTGGTTAACCACCCTGACAGTGCTACTCAAGGGCTACGTCTAGACTGGCCACAAATTCCGGAAAAGGGATGCAAATCAGGTAAGTCAGCATAGGGAAATCCGCGGGGGATTTAAATAAACATGTCCGCCGCTTTTTTTCCGGCTTGGGGGAAAAACCGGAAAAAAAAGCGTCTAGACTGGCGCGATCTTCCGGAATAAAGCCCTTTTCCGGAGGATCTCTTATTCCTACTTTCAAGGGCTTTATTCCGGAGGATCGCGCCAGTCTAGACGCTTTTTTCCAGCTTTTCCCCAAGCCGGGGAAAAAAGCGGCGGACATGTTTATTTAAATCCACGGGGGATATTTAAATCCCCCGCGGATTTCCCTATGCTGACTTACCTGATTTGCATCTCTTTTCCGGAATTTCTGGCCAGTCTAGACGTAGCCATGTAGTTTTTCCTAATGTCCAACATAAATTTCCCTTGCTGAACATTAAGCCCATTGCTTCTTGTTCCATCATCAGAAGTGAAGAACAACAATTTTTCTCCTTCTTTCTTGTAGGAACCTTTCAGGTACATGAAAGCTATGTCATGTCCTCTCTGTCTTCTTTTTTCTAGAGATGTCAACATGTAGACGACTATACAATTAATTGATAAACCTGGATTAATCCTGTCGACTGCACGCATCCCCTCATGCCCACTGCCTCTGTGTCAGGCAGTGGGATAGGGAGAGGGTGGGAGCCGGTGCCTGTGGGGGAGCCGGCTTTAAGCACAGGATCTGTTTGCCGCCTCATAGCGGCAGCAGCGCGCAAGATGAGGGGGCAGGTGGGAGCTGATACATGTGGGGAGCCAGCTTTTAAGTGGATCTCCATGCGTGCTGGCTCCATGGATCCACCTGCCTCCCCTTGGTTACTCCCAACAGGAAAAGACAGTAGTTCCGGGAGGTGAGACGGGGAGGTTGCCATGAAGCTTGGGACCCCCTGGTCTGCTGCAGAGCAGCCTCTGTGCACAGGGAGCTTGGCCCCCCTGCAGACAGAGGCTCTTGTTACCTTGCACTGCTGCCTCTCTATCAGAGGCAGCAGCATGGGGCGGCAGGCAGGAGTCGGTCTGTGTGGGGACGTCTGGTTTTTAAACCGGCTCCCCTCATGGACCAGCTTTTACCTGCCAGCCCCTGCTACTGCCTCTCTGATAGAGAGGCAGCAGCACGGGGTGGCAGGGGTCCCCTGGAGTGGGGCCAGGAGCACGCTGGCTGCTGACCCCTTTCCTGGAGACTCTTGAATAGTCATGTAACCACTAAAACGTGGTGTGGTTACGTAACCAATTACAGGCAGTCCCCGGGTTACATGGATCCAACTTACATCGGATCCCTACTTACAAATGGGGTGAGGCAACCCTGCACTAGCTGCTTCCCCCCAGCAGACCAAGGGGACACAAAGCTAGTGTTCCCCCCCCCCCCCCAGCAGACCAGGGAGACGCGGAGCGGCTTTTCTCAGCAGACACCTCCGCTTGAGAATAAAGGACTGAGGGAAGTGAGGTGTGGGAGAATAAAACTGAGCTCTGGAGAAATGTTTGGCTAGAGTTTCCCCTACAATATGTACCAGTTCCGACTTACATACAAATTCAACTTAAGAACAAACCTACAGTCCCTATCTTGTACGTAACCCTGTACATGCTATCTAACATCCCTACTCTTTTCCAAACTAAACAAACCCATTTCTTTCAGTCTTCCCTCATAGGTCATGTTTTCTAAAGTTTTAATTACTTTTGTTGTTCCTCTTTGAACTCTTTTAAATTGTCTCATCATTCCTGAAATGTGGCACCCAGAACTGGATACAGTACTCCAGATGAGGCCTAATTAGTGCACAGTAGAGTGGAAGAATTCCTTTTTGTGACCTGACTACAACACTTCTTTTAATACATTGCAGTATGATGGTTTGCTTGTTTTGCAACAGTGTTACACTGTTGACTTATTTAGCTTGTGGTCCACTATGACTCCTAGATGCCTTCCTGCAGTACTTCTTCCCGGGCAGTCACTTCCCATTTTATGTGTGCGCAACGGATTGTTCCTCCAAGGAACAATAAGGACTTTGCATTTATCCTCATTGAATTTTATCCTGTTTACCTCAGACCATTTCTCAAGTTTGTCCAGATAATTTTGAATTATGATCTGATCCTGCAAAGCACTTTCAACCCCTCCCAGCCTGGTGTCATCCATAGACTTTGTAAGGGTGCTCTCTATGCCAGGGGCTTTCAAACTAGGGGTTGCCACCCAGTCCTGGCTCCTGGAATGTCAGACACTGGGTCTTGTTGATGCGGAGTGATTAGTGGGGGTGCTATGGGAGGCATCCTGGCACACTGGCTGCGCTGTACTCCAGAAGTAGCCAGCAGCAGGCCCTGCTCCTTTTGGGGTGGGGGGAGAGAGAGTGTGCATAGGGCTCTGCACACTGCCCCTCTCCTAAGCACTAGTTCCACACTCCCCTTGGCTGGGAACCTGCTGCTGCTGCTGCTTCTGTTGTGCAGCATGGTCTGTGGTGCCAGGAAAGGCAGGAAGCCTGCTTTAGTACCTCCGCTGCATTGCGGACCAGCAGCTGCTTGACGTAAGTGCTCCTGTCACCTCAAAGCTCTCATCCTCAGCTCCGCCTTCCTCCAGAGCCCACACTTGAGTCATATTATGTTAGTTGGCAGGCATCAACAATTTTCTTCAACTGGATCATGGAAAAAAAAGTTTGATAACCACTGCTCTATGTCATTTGCTAAATTGCTATTGCTGTAACACTGTGCATTTTACCCATTCCTAGTAGTAACCAAGCTTGCCTCGCATTTGTATTTTTAAAGGCAACCAACTCCCACTGACTGTCAATAAGAGGTTGCCACTTAACTGCTATCTGTGCCTTTGGCAGTTTCCCCCCCTACTCCTACTCTACACCATGACTGGCTCTTCTGAATAGCCTGCTCCCTGATCGTGACAGCATGATGTGTTGCTGGAGCAGTGTGAAACATCCCTGATTTAATTAGGTGGGATTTTTGAGGGGTCTTTTCAGCTCTTGTTGGTTCACACCCAGAGTTTAGTGGAGACCCAACGCATAAAGCAGAGTTCATCTTAAATAGCAGAACTTTGCTTTGATTTCAGTCAAAGGCACCCAGTCAGCATCCCCAGCTCCTTTAGCAATAGCTGAGAGGGGGTGCTGCGCTGGGGACAAGGGAGACTTTCTGAAAAGTGGGCAATATGGTACAATTAGAAAGGAGCAAATTCCAAACCACCATATAGCAAACAGCTGACACCTTATCCTAATTCCTCCCCTACTTTGTGCCTGAAATGACCCACCTTCCCAATGCCATTTGCCACCTCAAGCTAAAAATCAGCCATAGGGAGGTGGGTATTGGAAGGGTGGGGGGAGGCCATAGGGAGGTGGGTATTGGAAGGGTGGGGGGAGGTCATCAGGCCGGCAAGGAGTGTGGGAGGGAAGGAGGAAGGGTGGTGAAAATGAGCGTTTTTTCCACAGAACATGTGGGACAAATGCTGCCTCCCCCAGCAAGAAAATAACTTTTTTAAACTAATAAAAGTTTAAAAGTGTCAGAAGTTGGAGTCCTGCTGAGAGAACTTGCTGATACAGCAGTCCTAAAGGAGCAAATAATTATTTTAACACTTGTGCAAGAACAAAACCCAGAACACAGTGATGGAAACCTTGCATCCTGCTGTGTATTTCAGTCAGTCATGTTCTTAATCTGCCCTAAACCCAGTGCCTATCCTATTGGCTCAGTCTCTAGAAAATAATAGGTGGCAGATAGCAGCAACCAGCACAAGTCCAGACAAACATTTAAATCTTAAATAAATTAAAAAGTACAAACAATCATGTTTTGTAATCACTGAGAGATTACTGTAATATAGCCCAAGGATGGGTGCTTGTATTTAGTGTATTTTACTTCTGGATATACAGTTAAAAAAATCTTCTGGGTTTTGTTCTTGCACAAGTGTAAAAATTCTCTGGAAGCTCTCTCCTGATTTCATGAACAATGAGTAGTCCTGGGACACCTTAGAGACTAACAAAATCTACTTCATCCGATGATGAGCTGGGTCCATTCATTTTCACTGCCTCCCTTATTCTGTAGCCCCAGGTAGAGTTTAAAGTTGTCTTTCCTTAATGGAAAATGAGGTTGTAACAACTGAATCCCTTCTTGGGTCCCCAGGGTGAATCAACATCAGGGTTTTTCTTTTAAGATCTCATTTGCAAGCCCATGAACAGGAAATTGTCTGGCACTCATCTTTTCTGGATTAGAAAGAGGGTGTTCTGATTTGACTCAGGCTTTGTCCACACTGCTAGTTGGGCAACAAAGCTTTTGTCTTTCACATATGCTTAGCTCCTCCACCCCTCCCAGGACAACAGCTTTGCCAAGGCAAATGTGGCTCTTGGAGACTTTTATCAGCAAGAGAAATGCCTCCGTCTTTGTTCAAGGCTTTGATGGAATCTAGCTTGTTTCATGGAGACTGCTAGGTGTACCCTCCACCAATATTCCTCTAGCAGAGCAAATGCAGAGCAAATATTGTCATGTTCTGTGTAACTTATGTTTCGAGGAGAATGCAGTGTTTGTTCTAATCCATTCAACTACAAATATATGGTATGGGTACACTGATCATACATCCCAGTTTTTCCAGCACAGTCCCAAATTTAAATGCTCTGTTCTGATGTCCCTATCAAGTAGGGAAATGTCCCGGAAAACCCTGCTGGATCCAGGTAGAAATGGCACTGCCATTTCTCTCCCTTGCTGGGACAGCCTTGTAGATGCGAGCATGGTGCAGCAGCAACACCTCCCTGCCCTAGCAGGTAGGTGGTTCCCTGGGTGCTTTGCCAATGGTCAGCCAGAGCCGCTTCTGGTGGTGCGTGGTTTCCGAGTTGGATTGGCAGTTGGAGCCCGGAGCATTCTCCAAGCTCCAGTGGAGTACATGCCTCAGCCCGGCAACCCTCTGCCAGCTTCCGCCCCACCACCGCACGGCCTTTCCCTCTCACCTACCCTCCACCCCACCCACAGAATGCCTCTGCCATGCACAGCCCGATTCAACCGCAGCACCTCCTCCACCATCCCCAGGCACCCACTTGCTCTTTGAACAGAGGCCACTGTGGGGGGGCGCCAGGAAGGTCCAAGAGCATGCCTCGTGGCTGCTGCTTGACTCCAGCTGGAGATAGGGCCACCCATGGGGACCAGGACCGTAGTATTAAAAATAGTTCCATGGGTGGCCATGGCCCCAGCTGGAGTCAAGTGGCAGCCCGGCGCACTCTTGGACCCACCCAGCGCACCCTCTCCTCCATAGAGTTCCAACCAGCGTAGCCTCATCACAAGAGGCCTCGTGTGGCTGCTGCTTGACTCCAGCTGGAGCCGGGGCTGCCCATGATAATATTTTTAATACCATGGTCCTGGTCTCTGCGGATGGCCCTGGCTCCAGTTCCAGCACGTGGTCCCACCCCGGGAGCAGCTGGGGCCAGGACTGTGGGGGCCCCGGCTCCAGCCCCCTGTCAAGGCTTTTTTCCCACTCTGGCATGATGAATGCAGAAGTGGGGGCCCACAAAAGTACCCCAAAACCTTATCCTTCCAGGCTTTGGTATAAAGCTTCCTCCCGAAATCTTAAAATCCTAGATTTTGGGGATAAAAAAAATCTACTGCCATCACCCAAGTAATAATAAGAAAACCAGGGAGAGACCACTTGGGAAATCTCAGCCCTAAAGTAAAAACCAGGAGACACACAAATTAACCAATACCAGGTTAATAAAAAGAAAAGAGAGAACTTTTATCACCACTACAATAGTCCTGTTAAAAGCATAGTGACTAGATGGAAAAGTCACCAATTAATAAACTCATGGGGAATTCTACCATGGCCAAAACTTAGTTTAAAAAAAAAAAGAGAGAAACCCCATTTTTAAATGCACAGACATCAGATTCCCATTCCCAAACCATAAAACCTAACGGATTTATCTAAACTTTACCCTGCTTACAGATAGTGAAGAGTCTTTCCTTGGAGACAGACATGATGTCTGTCCCCGTCAGTAGCTGGAAAGAAACTGTCCAGGGACAAAGGAGGGAAAAACCCAAAAATTCCTCTGTCCCAGTTTGGAATTCCTACTGGCTGACTCTACCTGGCTTAGGTAAGGGACATAGTTAACCCCTTAGTCCCCAGGCTACTGGCTAACACTCATGGTCATGAGACCCCCCACAAACTGCTTCCCACGTAGAAGACAGAAAGTGAGGGAAGGGGCATGGAGAGAACTTAAGGGGGAATGTGGGTGAGAAGAGGAAGAGGCTTGTGCTGAATGGGGAGCAGGACAGGAGAAGAAAGGGGAAGGCACCAAGGAGCAGGGTGGAGGAGAGAGAAATGCCAGAGGGTCACGATGAGACAATGAAGGCAAAGGGCAGGAGGGGGGGAGTGGAGAGGGGAGGGAAGGTGTCAGGGGAGGTTGCAGAAGGGAGGGAACAGTGTGATGCTGGGAGAGGAAAGGGGAGGGACAATGGGGGCAAGAGAGAGGAGGAGGAGAGGGTGCCTGGAGAAAAGGGCTTGAAAGGAGGGGTGGGCATGAGGAAGGCAGGGGATGGAGCAAGTCATGTGTGAGGGCACAGAGGAACATGAGGGGAACTGGGGCAGAGGGAGGTGAGGAGTGGGCACCAGGAACAAAGAGGTCAGGAAGGGCAGGGACAGTAAGGGAAGGGGAGGCACCAGGAAGATACAGTGGTAAGGGATGGTGCCAGGGGATTGTGGGGGTGAAGCAGAAGGGCAGACACGTGGAGGGGAGTCACTGGCACTAGAGGAGAAGGCAGGGTAGGTGAGTAGAGGGAGGTGTTACGAGAGGGGATGGGGAGGGGTAGCTACAGATGATCAGAATGGGGCTAAAGGAGGAGGTGGACATGGGAAAGAATGCAATGCATGTTGGGTTAATGCAATTGCAGGCTAGTTGCATGTGGGGGAGGGTCCTTTTGGGAGCCAAACCCATTCCTATTGGTAGATGACGGTGGAGGAGTTCTTAGAGGGGTCACATGACGCCCTTTACCTCCAGTCATGTGTCATTCTTGACCCCTGGAGTACTACCTCCAGGGGTGCGATTTCTTGTGGCAGGGGACATGGCTAATGGGGGTCAGGGGTCGTGGCTAACGTGTCCCTAATTTTGGTTCCAAAAATATGGTCACCATTAGCAGGGCTCAACAAATCAGTGAATCTGCTCACCCGTGGCGAGTAGACTTCATCCAGTCGTCCTGTTCACTGGCAGCGAGCGCATGCGCAATGTGGGTCTTGTGCATGCGCAGTACGGGGCTGGCGAGTAGATTTTGCTGCGGTTTGTCAAGCCCTGACCATAAGTATGGGCTACTCTAGCTATTCACATGGACAGATGCTTTCTACTCAAGTTGGCTGGGGGTAATAAACCTAGGCTGAAACAAGACTGGTTTATTTGATTATTTCTTAAACACACTTTTCTTTGAGCAAACAATCTGGTGTGTAACCAATGAGCATTTGTCATGTTAAGCCCACATATAAATGATGAAAGATGAAATAATAGGAACTATGTTAAGCAATAAATCAGCCCCAAAGGGTGGCTTCAATGTTTCTTCATCAGTTCTTAGTGATGTTAATGACACAATGTCTCTGTGTACTTCCTAGTAATCTATATAGTTTGATTATTATTGTTAAATGATTTTCTCCCTTTTCTGCTAGAATGGAGTCATGTCAGGACTGATGCAAATGCTTCTGCTGAAGGTCTCTGCTCACATCACAGAACAGCTGGGAATGGCCCCAGGAGGAGAATTCAGGGAAGCTTTCAAAGAGGTAGGAGCTGGAAGTAGGTTATTTCCAATGTTAAAATGTGTGTTGTATTTCAGTCAAACTAAAAGTCACTTGTTTGGACAGAGTGCTCTATTCTAATTACTGCCTTATATGTGGTGAGACCAGAGACCTAAGAAATGTTCGTCTTAAAGGGGAACTGCAAAGATTTTGGAGAAATGGTGGTATTTGCTCACTATTATCCTCTTTCTGGTGTATATAAAGATCATTCCATAGAGACTTTAAAATTTTGTGTTTGTGATACTTTTAAGTGGCCATTGTTCTCCTAGAAATAGTAAATTAGTTTCTTCTTTGTTTTTGCTGGGCGATACTAAAATCACAGATCTCCTGCTGAGAGCAAGGGGATGCTAAACATTTCACATAGTGCTTTTCTCCCAATTTTGGCCCTGGTTCTTTGTGTGGAACCCTGTTCCCATTCAAATTGGAGGCTTTGTCTGGAGTCAAAAGGATTTGAATTGGTATCTTAACCCCCCCTCCCCTACTTTTATGCAGTCTGACAACTCCTCCCTTTCCTGCCCAGGGCAAGAGCTGCAGCTCAGGTTTCAGTGTGTCCTGGTGGCGTTGTCCTTGTTCTCCAGAGCATTTCCCCAACTGTGCTGGAATCCTGCTCTATCTATGGGCTTGCTACACATTGTGTGTTAGTTCAGGCCTCTGCTGCATTTGCAAGCATCTTCCTCACACCCTGCTCATGTTTGAGCCCTCCACATGTACAACACGTGGGACTAGCGCTTGAAGCAATGGAGCTTGCATACCTACACACTCTGCATCTTGTGTTCTTGATGGGGAGCATGACATCTATTGTGCATGTGCCGCAAGGAACACTTCTTGTTAGAATTTCTGGACTCTGGGGCATGGGCACTCATGCACACCCATGTATGGAATGCAGATAGGGACAACTCATCTCAAAGAACTTCCAGTTGCAAGTAAGTAACCTTTATTTGCCTGATATTCATTTGACGGTATTTGCCTTGTCTCATTAGTATTCTTTAGAAAACTTAGGCTACTGTAATTAGTAACAATGTCCTAACAATATACTAAAGGTTTTTAATGTGAATCTTCTCTTGCAGGCTGGTAAAGTTCCTTTCTGTAAGTTTCATCTTGGGGACAGACCCATCCCAGTGACATTTAAAAGAGCCATCGCTGCACTTTCTTTCTGGCAAAAAGTCAAGCTCGCCTGGGGCCTCTGCTTTTTATCTGACCCAATAAGGTATGAATAAGTACCTTGGCTTTATCTGTGAAAGATGAATTATAAGGACCCAATCCTGCAGGTTGCTGAACATGCTCAGTTTGACTTTAGTGGGAGTTAAAAGGCACATTCTACCGGATGTGATCAGACCCTAAATCAGCAACTTCTTTTTTCCCATCCTGGGAACAGTGGCATAAGTGCAAAACCCACTGAAGGAATTTGATCATCTGCCTTAGAACTCATTCCTGCGTCCCATACTCACTCAAATAGCCTAGTCGATGTCAGTGAGGATAGTCAGGTGAGCAGGATTTGCAGCATAAAATGCATGGTGTATTCTCTGTATGATCACTTTAAAAATGTAGAACTAGCTTTTATTAGTATTACTTCTTGGGGAATTTGTGGGGAAAATTTTTTCATAATATTTTAAAGTTTTGCAAAACTCTGCATATTTTATTTGATCAAATAATACAATATAATCACTCCGGTTTCAATTATTTTGGTAGTTTATTTCAAAATACCTGTCAACAAGTATGTCAACAATACAGACAACAGCAAAAAACATTCTTCCAGGACTAGAGAGTTAACCCCCACAACAACCCTGTTCCAGTTAGTGGGTACTGGAGGGAGCTTTGTGAGGTCCCCAGATCCCAGTCACATGACTCCCATCACCCCAGAGCCCAGCTGCAAAGCACCTCCATCCCAGACATCCACACCCCATTCCCCACAGAGCCTAGACAGGGAAGACCTACTGGTCCATACATCAACAACCTCCTCCCCATTGAGCCCAGCTGTGGGGTACCTCCTAGCTAAGACACCAGCAACACCTCACCATAGAGTCCTGGCATGGGGCACTCCCCCCGGGCACAAGAGTATAGCAGCAGGGCAGAGGGCAGCATTCCTAGAACCTTTACGGCCCACAATTTCTTTATTGTTCCTCCCAGGGACCTAATATGGTGGGGCTGTGCTCTTCCTTACCCAATGTTGGCTGGGTCTCCTCCCACCCCAGGGAGTCTGAATTAGGATCAAAGAGTCCTGCCAGGCTCGGTGCTCTGCTCACTGCAAGCTGGGCTCCACAGAGTGGCCAGAAATTCTGCTGGGGAAGGAGGGAATTCTGCATTCTGCAGTGGTGCAGAATTCCCTCAGGAGCATTTTATGATCCTGTTCCAACATCTCTGCGTCACCTGAGGGGTATCAAGTATCTGGAATTGCTCTAGCTGGCAAGCTGAAAATTTCCCTGGAAAAGGAGAATCTCAGCTGATGTAAAAGTCAGATGAGCCAGAAACCTCCCCTGCACCCTTTGACAGAAAAAGGGATTTTGACAGGGACAAAGTGGACCTGCACTGAGTGCCAATTCACAGTGTTATGATCCCTTAGGGACCTAGCCCACTCTCATATTTCAGCTTGAGAACTGAACTATGATTACCAGCTATCCATGCCAGGTGGGTCTTGGTGCAGGAGAGAATGTGTCCTGTAATCTTTAAATGTCCAACTGTTTGTTTTATATAACCCTTATAAAAGGGGCTCTATTAGCTTTCCAATTAATGTTATAATCAGGGATGTGAACAGGTAACCAATTAACTGTAAGCATCAACCTTAATGGGTGGTGCTTACCAGGTAATGGTTAACTGTTATCCAGCAGCAGCACCCCTGCCACTGGTCGTCTGAAGGCAGAGGGCTGGGTTGGGTTGCAGCCCTCATGGGCTGGGAATTGGTAGCCTCATGAGGGCTGGGTGGGGAAGGAGAAGTGGGAGAAGTTAGGGCTGCTGACTCCCAGACCGCAAGCCCACACAGGCTGGGGAGCCAGCCCAGCGCAGGGTTGGAAGCAGCTGCACTGGAGCAGCTCCTACTTAAAGGCACAGGGTCCACTCCAGCTTGGCCATGGCAGGTGTGGGGGCTGCTCCAGTCCAGACGGCTGGAATGGTCCATGGCCCAGCCTTGTTTAATCAGTTAGCCAGTTAAACATTAAGTTTAACCAGTTAACTATTTAAATAGGATTTTGCATCCCTAGTTACAATTAGGGATGTTAGATAGCAATTAATTGAATAGTCATGTAACTGCACAAAGTATTATTGGTTACAAAACTATTCAATAGTCCCTGAGGGCGGGGCTGGCAGCCCCACTCCCTGGGAGCCTCCCTGGAACCCTGTGCTGCTGCCCTCTTCCCTCCCTTCCCCCCCGCCCCACCTTGCTACCTTTGTAGTCAATAGGATTAAGTGATAAGGCTAGCTTATCAGTTAATCATGCACTTGACTTCAAGTTTGACATCATTAGTTACAATAATGCAAATGGTTTCCATTCCTGTTGTTCTATCTTTTGGAGGAAGGAAAAACCCCCACAAAGGGGTAGGAACAAATTTGACTCCACCCAAATTGGGGACAAGTAACTCCGCAGAAGGAACATTAATTTTTCTGGCTCAAGAGTGCACTCCCAGGTGCCCTTGAAATTTACTTGTGCTCCCAGTAGATGTATGAGGGGCCTGGATGAGGATGATATATGCACAGATCCATCGTACCAGGCGCTCTGCCTGTCAGCACCTGCCCAGTCCTCTTGTGGCTAACCAAGAACAGCTCAAAAGGAACTACATAGGTTTTCAGGGCTGAGCCAGGACCAGTGTAACTTCTACCTTCCATCCATGCTTTAACTTAGTTTTCATTTATTTCCATGTATGCATATATTGTAAAATCCAACTGTGGAGACAATTTCTGACTCTTCTCTTTTTTGACCTGTTAACTAGCAGCTTATGTGCAAAATATGGTGGTAGCTAATAATATTTATTCTCAGCCTGTATCATATTTTGCTCTTCGTTTTAAGAAATGTTCCATTGACTGAAAGGTGGATTTCTGTACAATTCTTCTCTGCACTTTCCTACCACACCCACTCACCTCCAGGAAGACATTGATTATTAAATAAGACCAGGAAAATTTATCAGTTGAGCTTGGAATCGAAGTTTGGGTGTGACCACAACTGATGATAATCATCCTCAGAGTAGGAATAGGGCAAGGAAAAACAGGCTACAGTTTTAGGGTCATGATGATTCAGTTCTGGCATTATTCATATCCTGGTGGTTATGTGAAGGGTTTTAAAATTAATTTTAAAACTTTACTAAAGCTGTGGCTAAATTTTATAATATACAGGTGAAGAAAAGTATCTGTACATTTGTGCATATTCCTTAGATTATTCACAAAGTTTTAAAAGTCAGCAGATACTTTTAAAAGTCAGCAACAACTCAAATGTAGGTGAATAAATTTAACAATGTTGTTTAGATATTAGTATCCAGTTATTTGGGTACATTACTCATGAAAAGTTATGCAGAACTGGTTGTGAACAGCAAATATACCAATGAGTGCAGATCGTCCTTCAGTAATTGAGAATGTAGAGTCTGTTAGAAAATATAATGCCTCAGGGAAGTATTTCCAGTTACTTTCCCGACTGCACTTCTCATCCGCACTTCAGCTCATCCCTCCTGATCTTGCTGATATCTGAGCCGTGTTCTCTGTAGATGTATCTGAAACCACTTGATGTATCTCAACCACGTGATGACAATCTACATTTAATCTAAACAAGCTAGCTTCATCCTTTTAAGATAAAGGTAGAAAATCATACTACACTTCTATTTGTGGTTATTCTTGGCTTTGGTTGTAGTGTTCCCAATCACTGAGCATTTCATGAGTTAGCTGTCTGGAAAATGAGCAAATCAAACATATTTTGGTGTCTTCACTACTTAGTGACATTTTATTTGTTTCTTCTGTCACTTGTCCTGCAACACTAGAAACAATCTCAAGACTGACCTCCCAGAAATACTATAGTACTACATGGTTAGTGAGCTGAATTTGCTCTGCAGCTTCTTACTCATCCTCACTTCCCGTTTATTAAATTACCTATCTCCTAGAACTGGAAGGGACCTTGAAAGGTCATTGAATCCAGTCCCCTGCCTTCACAGCAGGACCAAGTACCATCCCTGACAAATTTTTGCCCCAAATCCCTAAATGGCCTCCACAAGGACTGAACTCATAACCTTGGGTTTAACAGGCCAATGCTCAAACCACTGAGCTATCCCTCCTCCCCAAGTTATTCCTCACTCCCGCTCAGGGAATTGCCAGCTTAGAGCTTTCTTCCTCTGATCTTCAGCAGAGAGATCCAATTTTAATAGGAACATACATAATTCTATCCATTTCCTCGGATTCATTGCTCTGAGGGGACCTCTTAGGAGATGCTCAGTGTTTGTGATGATGGATTCTGCTACTTCAGGAGTGTTTGACAGGCCCCAGGAAGAGCAGTATCAATAATGCACCTTAACTGGGCAGTGGTGGGAGCTCCTTCCCTCAGAGTCTGGGCACCTTGCCTCAGCTGTGATGCCAGATTATGTGCTTGTTTAGTTTCCCATAATTAAGATGCAATGGATTACTTCTATTGAATAGCTCTTAGATGATTGACCTTTCACTAAGTTTAGAAACACTGTTGAGAATATGGGCCTACAGGGAGCTAATTTTGCTTTCTTAGGAGGTACAGGTCTCATGATTTTACAAGAGCTTGTCTAGATTGGACTTTGAGAGCATAATACAGACACTGGAACTGTTTCTCTTTTCAGTAAAGATGACGTGGAGAAGTGTAAACAGAAGGATTTATTGGAGCAGATGATGGCTGAAATGATTGGAGAATTTCCTGATCTCCATCGAACAATTGTCTCAGAGCGAGATATTTACTTGACCTACATGCTGAAGCAAGCAGCTAAGCGAATAGAACTACCTCGTGCTTCGGAAGGTAATTGCTTTAAAACTGATATGTATCTTTGAATATGGATTCCTCTTTCCTATCGTGTCTATTTCAAAACTGGGAAATACTAATTAGGCTGCTAAAATTTGAAAAAATTCAGTATCACTATTACAACATAGAATGGGACTCATTATTGCTGTTACAAAAGACTGTGCTTCCAGAGTGGTGAGCATACTGAATACTTATTTCTCAGGTCTCTAAAGGTGCTTGACTGTCACTTCTGTGATTCATAATCTCTTGGGATGCATAAGCATAGTAAGTTATGGGTTATCTTGTACCTGATATCTTAAGATATAAGATATATAACTTCAGTGTAGGTCCACTGAGACTGCCTCCTGGTTTTAAAATGTCCCAAATGTTGCATTGGGGCCCCTGCTGCTCCCTCACATGGTGTTTCCTCTGCACTCGGGAGCAGCAGCAGAGTGAAACTGTTGATTAACCATTCAGTTTTGCTGTCAGCCCTGTTTGGGTCATGAGAGAAGCAGTAGGTGTCAAAGCAACACGTGAATTGTCTCCCTCTACTGGAGGTGGTCTGGAGTTCTCCAAGAAGACAAAGTGATAAAGCTTACAACCATTGTCCTCCAAAACATTTCAGCAGTAATGGAGGATAGAATATGTGCAGTTTCTGTGTGACACTTTCCATGTGACCAAACAGGACCAGAGTGGAACTGCTGAGAAGCACACCAGTCTTGTTCAGCTAGTGAAAACACTTTGTGCAAGAACAGTACATCAGCGACTTCATGAGTGATTGAGCTTGGTGTCACAAGGAGAAGGGAGAGCAATTATTCTCCTTGGCCTCTGAGGATAGGACAAGAAGCAATAGGCTTAAATTGCAGCAAGGGAGGTTTAGGTTGGACATTAGGAAAAACTTCATAACTGTTAGGGTGGTTAAACACTGGAATAAATTGTCTAGGGAGGTTGTGGAATCTCCATCACTGGAGATATTTAAGAGCAGGTTAGACAGACATCTATCAGGGATGATGTATGATGCTTGGACCTGCCATGAGGACAGGGGACTGGACTTGATGACCTTTTGAGGTCCCTTCCAGTTCTAAGATTCTGTTGTTCTAACTCAGGGCTACTCAACTCTGGAAGCCCCGGGGTCCGCAATGATATTCACAGCATGTCCCAAAGACTGCAACTTAAGTGTGATTGCAGATACATGCAAATATATATGCAAATAGCTTCTTTCACACCGACAGGCATGAATACAAAGATTAAGGCAAGACTACAAAACACACAGGCCCCATTTAAGTCAATTCTGCTGATATTAATAAAATGCAATATTTACCCAAGTTCCACCCATATGACAACACTTTTAATGAGCAATGACAGTCCAGGAATTTAACTACTAAAACGCATATCAACAGAAGACCATAATAATGACTATATTTTTTTGTTTTGGCTCCCACCTGCAGGCCGCATGTTGAGCCCCGTGTAAACCCAAACTGCACCATGGGCTGCAAACGAACGGGCTGTGGGCCACGTGTGGCCCGTGGGCTACTCAACAAGCGGCCATGTTCTAACCCATAGTTTGAAAAAAAAAAAATAGCCTAGTCTAGCAGGGTTACTAAGTGCTTGAAACACAAACTGGAAATGGCACTCACAAAACAACAATAAAGAAATCTATCAGATACTTTTAAAATGGGATAATTGCTCAGTCATGCAAAGAGAACCAAGTGGGCCAAACTCTGCTCTAAGGACCCCACTGAAATCAGTGGCATTTGGTGTAGAGGGGTGCAAATTTGCAGAGCTCCCTTTGCAGGTTCACAGCCCAAATGTATTTTGCATTGTACCCTAAGACTCAGATGACCAAGGATGCCCAAGTTCCAAAGATGTGCACTGGAGAAGGACTTGCCATTATATGTGAGCTTTCAAGACCACATGCTCATTGGTTGACCTTGACTATCACAACTGGATACAATAGGAGATGTGTGCGTGGCAGACTATACTAGTGAGGAGCTGCATTCAGGGAGCTTCTAGAACTGAGAGTAGCACTAGATCTAGTCAAAAGAAGTTCTGTTTTGTGGCAGGGGGTATTCAAAAGAGAATTTTGTCATTCAAAAATGTTCATGTGTTTAATTTAAAAAATGGTTTATGACTACTGGGATTATTTGAAAATGTTGTTTTGAAATATAAGAGTACAAGTTGAACCTCTCTGGTCTGGCAACATCTGTGGTCCAGCATGATTTCAGTTAGCTGGATGTCCACTTGTCATGGGTGTGATCAAATTTTCCACAGTCCCATAAAGTTTGTTCACAGCCACCAGTCCTGGCTCTGTGTTCTGTGCTGTTGTTTATCTCTAATTTACCACTAAATATCTAAGAACCCAGTAAGCGGTGGAAGTGTTGGTAATGCTGCTGCACAATATTGATCTCCCGTGGTTCGGCAAATTCTCTTGTTTGGCACCAGTTAGGTCCCGAGGATTCTAAAGAGAGGTTCAACCTGTGCCTTTTAAAAAGATTGCTTACAGTTTGGCAATGTTTTTCTTACTGGAGAAAAGACTGTACATCTTTTTTCCTCTTCTGTCTTAGCTGAACCCAGAAAATGTATCCCATCTGTTGTAGTTGGAGTAGTTGGGATGGGTCATGTGCCTGGAATAGAAAAGAACTGGAACACTGACTTAAACATCCAGGAAATCATGAGGTAACTTTCTCTTTTTTTGCATGTTGATTTAATAGTGCCTCAGCCTTACAATCGGCAGTTGCTTTTGTTTATAATGCTTATGACCTCTTGCTCAGGTCACCCAGAACTGTGAGCCACACTGTTACTCTCTGCCTTAGTAAGAGTGAGTTTTGCTGCTGTTAAGCTGTGTGTCAGCTCCCTGCTTTGCCAGATTGTCTGTCTTGCCAGCAAACTCTTCAAGATTCTGCCAGGCCAAACTTTGCTATGCAGGTAACAATCAGTGATCCCCAGTTCTCAAGAGATATCTCTCTGGAGTATCCAGTCCCTCTCACTGGTGGCTAGTATTAAGTTCACTGCCTCCAAAGAGATGGTGCCCGCATTAGTTTGTTTGGTTAGTTGAAGGCCCACACTTCAGCATAACAGCACTGAGATTATTAATAAACTTTTTCATCTTAACTAAGAACATAGGTTTAAGTAATTTCAAGAAAGAGTATGCGGTGGCATTGTAGCCATGTCAAACCAAGGGTATTAGAGAGCCAAGGTGGTGAGGTAGTATCTTTTTATTAAATATACCTAAAGAAGAGCTGTTTGTGGCCCATAGGCTTGTCTCTCACCAATAGAATTTAGTCCAATAAAAGATATTATCTCATCCACCTTGTTTCTTCAGGGAAGAGTGAAAGAGATAAAAGGTTACTTACAGAAAATGTGCTTTCTAGTGACTAAAACTTAAGGTCAGCAAGTTACAGTATTTGTCTAAGTAGGTCTGTCACCTGTAGTTGGTTCCCAGAGACTTCAGTCCCTTTGGTTGAAGATAGGGATGTAAGCAACTAGTCAACTATCCGATATTGTTCCTTCCTAAGTGGAGTATTTTGCATTTGTCCTTATTAAACTTCATCCTCTTTACCTTGGACCATTTCTCCAGTTTGTCCAGATCATTTTGAATTACAACCCTATCCTCCAAAGCACTTGCAGTCCCTCCCATCTCGGAATCATCTGCATACTTAATAAGTGTACTTTGTATGCCATCATATAAATCACTGATGAAGATACTGAACAGAACTGGTTCCAAAACAGATCCCTGGGGAACCCTACTTGTTATGCCATCCAGCATGACTGCAAACCGTTAATAACTACTCTTTGAGAATGGTTATCCAACCAGTTATGCACCATTTTATAGTAGCCCCGTCTAAGTTTTATTTTTGTAGTTTATTGATAAGGACGTCATGTGAGACCGTATCAAATGACTTACTAAAGTCTAGGTACACTACGGCCACCACTTTTCCTTTATCTACAAGACTCGTTATCCTATCAGAGAAAGCTATTAGATTGGTTTGACATGATATGTTCTTTACAAATCCATGCTGGCTGTTACCTATCACCTTATTTTCTAGTTGTTTGCAGATGAATTCCTTAATTACTTGCTCCATTATCTTCCCTGGCACAGAAGTTAAGTTGACTGGTCTGTGGTTTCCTGAGTTGTTCTTATTTCCCGTATTTATAGATGGGCACTATATTTGTCCTTTTCCAGTCTTCTAGAATCTCTCCTGACTTCCATGATTTTTTCAAAGATGATAACTAAAGTCTCAGATACCTCCTCTATCAGCTCCTTGAGAATTCTAGGATGCATTTCATCAGGCCCTGGTGACTTGAATACATCTAAGTTTTCTAAGTAATTTTTAACTTGTTATTTTCTTAACTTCTAAACCTACCCCATTTCCGCTAGCATTCACTATATTAAGTATCCCTTCAGCATCAAACTTCTTGGTGAAAACCAAAACAAAGAAGTCATTTAGCACCTCTGCCATTTCCAAGTTTCCTGTTGTTTCTCCCTCTTCACTGAACAATAGGCCTGTCCTGTCTTTGGTCTTCCTCTTGCTTCTAATATATTTGTAGAATGTTGTCTTTTTACCCTTTATGTCTTTAGCTAGATTGAGCTCGTTTTGTGCCTTTGCCTTTCTAATCTTGTTCCTGAATACTTGCGTTGTTTGCTCATATTCCTCCTTTGTAATTTGACCTAGCTTCCACTTTTTATACAGCTCCTTTTTTATTTTTAGATCTCCTGGTTAAGCCAAGGTGGTGTCTTGCCATACTGTTTTTTTTTCTTATGCAGTGGAATAGTTTGGTTTTGGGCCCTTAATAATATCTCTTCGAAAAATTGCCAACTTTCCTCTTAGTTTTGCTTCCCATGGGACCTTACCTACCAGCTGTCTGCATTTACTAAAACCTACCTTCCTGAAATCCATTGTCTCTATTTTGCTGTTCTCCCTTCTACAATTTCTTAGAATCATGAACTGTGTGATTTCATGATCCATTTAACCCAAGCTGCCTTCAACTTTCAAATTTTCAACTAGTTCCTCTCTGTTTGTGAAAATCAAATCTTGAACGGCTACTCCCGAGTAACTTCCTCCATCTTCTGAAATAAAAAAAAGTCTCCAATGCAGTCCAAGAATTTATTAGATAATCTGTACCCTGCTGTGTTAGTTTCCCAACATATGTCTGGAAACTGTAATTCATAGCTAAGACCTGCAGTATGTGAAACAAGATGCCTCAGAGATAGCATAACCAAAGAGTGAAAAATGGACATCGGGACTTTGGTTGCATGCAGGCAGCACCAGAGGTTAAAGTAAGCCGGTGCGCCCTGGTGCAGCGAAATGGCCGGCTGGAAGTGGGGTCTTAATCCTGTTCTTGCTCCTCACCCCCTAAAGAAGTAAACTCTGGTGGCTGGAGAGTGACATGGGGCTAGGGGCAGGAGAGCCCCAGGTGCTGGGTCAGGGTCCTGGGGTGCTGCTGCACCCCGTCCACCCTTAGCTCCCTTTTTGTGCTTATAAGCACTGCCCCCATAGGTCCCATTTGGTTGGGAACAGGAGCAGCGCAGGGCAGGGTCACCAACAGGGGCTAGCCTCCCATCCCACTCTCCACCCTACACACACCTACACCTCTCCCCTGCCCCCATGGGAGGAGGGGGATTATGATAGGACAGTACTTGTAAGAAGTTTGAGTTATTTTCACCCCTAGGCAGCACTACATCTTGAAGCACAAAATCAGTTTGTTATAATCCATTTACTAAGAATGGCAGTGAAATTATGGCAGAACAGGAGATCACAAGAGCGCAGGATCCTGGGCAGCTGCTGTCCATGTTGACATGGCTTCACAGTTATTGTTGTTTCAGCTAGTGTTGATTTTTTTTTCGAAGCTAGCATGGGTATTTCTGCACATGCTGCAGTTACACCTCCTGATTTGCAGTGTAGACATACCCATCCTACCTTTTGGATTCAGCCCAGATCTGTAGGTTCCAGAATTTATCATTTTCCCACCTAAAATCTATGCTGTGTCTCACCTGAGTGCCTCAGTTTCGCTAATGTATTTATCCTCTCAACTCCCCTGTGATGCAGGGAAATCCTTTTATCCCCATTTTACAGAAGGAGAATGAGGTACTGAAAGGCTAGCACAAGATTAGATAGGAAGTCTGGGAATTGAACTTAAGCTTTCCAAGTCCTAGGCTTATGCCCTAACAACTGGACCATATCTTGTGATGGCTGGTTAGTAGTGCCAGACCAGTTACTAGTGGGTAGAGATCCACATCAGTGTCACAGTAACTGGCATTCTTGGTAAATTTGTTTGCATTTTCATTAGTGAGATTAAAGAATTAATGGAATGGAAACTGACCTGCTTGTCTTTGTGCCTACACAAGAGACGGCTCTAAGTCAGGCTTCAGGAATTTTGACTGAACTCCAGGCTGTGACTATAGATGAATTTTCAGTCCAACATCTTCCATTAGCCACTAAGTTTGCTTAAATTCTGCTTTTTTAAATAGCATGAATAGGTATGGCAGAAATTAACTTTTTATTTTTAATAATTTTTTATTTTTAATAATTTTTAGGATGTTGATTTTTAAGCATTTTTTATTTTTACCAGTTTACATGTTAACACTTGCGAGAAACTGTGGGGAGGGTTAGACAATAATTATTTAATGATAGTGGACATCAATTTGAAAAGTGAAAGCTTTATAACTGTCAAAACACATTGTTGGGAACACGGGTCAAAATATACAAAGTAAATACAGTAAAACTCCAGTGGTCCGGCATCCAATGGTCCGGCACTCCTGATGGTCTGGCACCATCTGGAACCCGGAAGTGCTCCGGGCAGCTGGACAATTGGAGCTGCTCTGTCCCTGGCTTCCTCGATTCAGCCACTGCTGAAACTGACTAGTGGCTGACTTAGGGAAGCCGGGGGCAGACCAGCTCCAGCTCCACCCCAGACTACTCATGCCCCCCCCCTTCCGATAGTCCAGCATATCTGATAATCCGGCACCCCCTGGGTCCTAAAGGTGCTGGATTATCGGAAGTTTACTGTATCTTCAAATTGAGTTCTGATTTAAACAGCATTTTTCTTACTTTGTCTTTGCATAAAAGTTGATTATAATCAAATAAAGGCAATTGTTTTGTCAATTTTGTGTATATGATGAATTTGCTGTTGATAACCATTTTTCATTAAAAATCGAATCTTCCAAAATCTAAGTATAAAGCAGGTAAAACCCTGAGAATACAGCCATTCTAAAACCCTGACTTCTTGGCTGGTGGATGAACTTTGACCTTTCTCAGCATATTTGAGGCACACAGTTTGTGTAGTTATGGCTATGTATTCCTGAGTATTTTTCCTAAATCTAAAGTTCTCCTACTGTATCGCATCCTTAGGAAGGGCAAGATGATCTGGAAATAACTTTTCTTAGAATTCAGAATCAAACATGCTTCTATTTGCATATTTTTGGAATATCCCATACTGAATTTACTACTAAATGCAACCTCCTGTGGGTTATATTGAGAGGTGATTTAAATTAGCTGAGAGTTGAAAAAAGTGAGTAAGATGATGGAAGCTAAAGTAGTTGTATCTCTATCCTCTGTCAGCCCCCCTCCCCTCCCACCACACACATGCTCTCACTTACTAAATTTTATATCTTCTTATAACCCCTCCAAATACAAGATCTTTTTTATATTAGGAAACTTATATCATTGTAACTAAATTAGGGTTGTAAAATCCTGATCAATCAGTTAACCGGTTAAATTTAGATGACCCTAACATTTAATTGGATAACCAACTAAGCGGGATCCTGAGCCGGGGATTGTTCCTGCCTGGCTGGAGCAGCTCCGAGCCCCGCAAGCGGTGGGCTGCAAGGGTTGTCTCCCAGCTTTACGCGGGGGTCCAGTGGGGCAAGAACAGTGCCCCACCTATGGCACACTGTGGGCAGGGAGCTGCTCCTAGGGAACTGGTTAACAGTTACCCAGTGAGGTTGATGTTTCCCACGTAACCAATATCCCTAAACTGAATAAATACATTTTAAAATTGACCTTCTGACCCAGTGCAAATCTCTATTATATATGCACATTTTTAACACTGTTAAACCATTTTAGAGTATGTCTGTATTACAGAATTGCACCCATGGAACTAAATGTAGATACATTGATTTATACAAGTGAAACTTTTCTAAGTACTGACAAATCCTGATGCTCTATAAATCTACATATTAATTAACTTACGTCATCTCACACATCACCTTTGAATTTGATTCTACATAGTTATTACAAATAATTCTGTATATATTTCTCCTTAATATGTCTATTCCTTGCAAGGGTTCCTATACTAATGAGGAAGTATGTTATAATGACAAACATTTTGGCAAAAATGATTAGCATTTAATGAAGGTGAGGAAGGATCTTTTTCTTCCTGCTATGTGGGTGATAATTTTGTGTTTATCACCTTTATTTCAGTGTGCCTCCACCATCAACTTCAAGTAAGGTTGTCAGACTTGTCATAAAAGCAACAGTTTTTGGACTGATGGGATATGGCTGCTACCGGATAGGACAAAGGACAGTTCAATTTATTCTCTCCATGCAAACAACACAGAACTGTCTTCAGAGGCTGACAGAAATTAGACCTCGACATTGAACACCCACTTGAAATAGTGTCTGGAAATCATTGTGGAAAAGAGTGCTAAAGACAACACATGCTAATTGGGATGTAAAAGAGGGGCTGAGGATTCTTGTCATAGATTCCATTTGATACTGAGCAATGCCGAATTGCTGTAAAGTAAATGAGTGACTGTTGAAAGCTACACCAGCTGTGACCTGGTGAATGTCTGCTTCCTAATAAGTGTGTGGTATGAAAGCACATGATTCCAGTTTTGCGATAAATGAAATATGTTACACATATATATTATATATATCATATTATATATTATGTGTATATATAATATATATTTATGATGATGTAGTACAGACAGCATAAAGAGTGTATATTCTTGACTATTTTCAGAGGAACAGAGTGACGTAAGGTAACTTAATTGTGTGTTTCTGCTCAACAGCGCAAGGACACCTCTACAAATGGTATTTCAGTATAATAATACCAAATGTTTGTTCCTGGTGCTAAGCACCTATAAAATGATTTAGAAAGACAACTTCTTACAGAACATTTTTATACTTAATACATTTAGGTTTTTTTAAGCTTCAGAGCTTTCAAAAATATCAGAATGATACAGGCTGTCAGACATACACCGCCAAATTTCTTTGAGCCTTATTAAAGAACTGAAATGTTGCCTTTAGAATTACACCTTTCCCTATAGACATCAGTAATAGTTTTGTCCTCTGTTAGAAAGGCATACCTTTATCAGCAATTGTTGGTTAACTTCCAGTGTTCTGTTCTTTTTGGATTAGATTATTTAACCGTATACATTAGCCAAATATTGTTGGTTTTAAATTCAGTATTGTAAAATTCAAGGCTAGAACTATGGTTTAATTTACTTTTCACATCTCAAAGCTTTCTTTATTTGGATAATATATCTGGGATTGATGTGCAGTACTTGACCTTCCCCCTGCCACATTCAAATATTTTATTTATCAGTGTAATTTTTCAGTGGATACGTATTTTACCTATTTAATAGAAAAGCAAAAATCAATTAATGTTTTTAATTAGCTATGGGGTTTGGAGTTTTTTTTATCTCTGCTGTTGGTAGAATTATGGATATGACTTCAAGTACTGTAACTTTAATAATTTTTTTAGAACATCTTAACATTGCGTTCATTATATTTTATAATTCTTTCAGTACCTTTAAGACAGGATTGCCCTTGGTTATAAGTGCTCTTTGAAACCAACTCTTCCCTCTCCAATGGCATAGCAATCATAATTGTGGTGTCAATGATATTTTAATTCATTGTATATGAACAAAGTCCATCTGCTATTGTAGCTCCTATGCAGTTGCAAATTGCTTGCAGTGAAGTCCATATCTGTTCTGGTACTTTATGTGGGGAGGAAGAGCTGCACCTGAGGGAGGGCAAGAAAAAGAGGTTAATTTTGGTTTTCATAGAGTCCAATAAGGTTAGCAACTGTGCTTTGTGCTGTTTGGGGTATGTTTCCAAAGTCTTATGTGGGGGAAATGTCTTCATACAAGCTATTATTTGCCCAACATTTTCTGTGTGTATCCTTCATACAGTATCTTTTTAAAAAGCTTTTTCTTTTTAATCCTAAAGAAATGAATGGCCTAATCCTCTTTGTGTTTATGCCACTGACATCACTGGGAGCGGGTATGTCCATTGGGCCCAATACTCCATTGCATTGTACCTTGCGGAGTTCTTTAGACCAGGAGGTTTCAAACATTGGTTATGAACCTGCCAGGGAAAGCCCCGGGCAAGCCCATGACACTTTGCTTACTTTAAAGTTCCATGCCAAGGAGCCTTGCAGTTCACATTGGCTGCAGTTTGCCATTTCCAGCCGAGGCAAGCTGCGGGAATCAGCTTCCAGGTCCGCACTGCTTCCTGCAGCTCCTCTGGCCTGGAAATGGCAAACCACAGCTAATGGGAGCTGTGAGGCTCCATGGCTGTGAAGCTTTAGAGTAAACAAAGTGTTGTGGGCCTGCCACGGGCTTTCCCTGATGGGTCCACAGCCCAAGTTTGAAAACCCCTGCTTTAGATTCCACTCCTTCATAGGGATGTTAAATTGCAGGTAATCAGATAATCAAGTAGTTAATGGGATTTCCATTGACTACTTGATTAGAAGGGGGGAAACTACAGAACTGCAATGGTCCTCCTTTTGAGCCTCTGTGTTTTAAATATATTAAGAACCACCAGGCTCTTAATGCATTTAAAAAGCAGCCGGGGGGACTGGGAGAGAGCTGGGACAGCTGATTCCCAGCTTGCGCCTAGTCCCCCACTACACCTCTGCCTCCCCTGCCCCCCCAGAGACTGGGCTAGGGGGAACAGGCCTTTAAGTCAGCTCCCCCCCAGCACTGGCTCCTGCTCTCCCCCCTTGCTGCCTCTTCTGGATAGAGGAGGCAGCAAGGGTGCGGGAGCGACTAGTCAAGTTACTACTCAGCTATCCAATAAGCATATGCTTATTGGGTAGTCGACTGGTCGCTAACATCCCTACTCCTGCAAACCACTTATGGGGATACTTGATTTGAAATGCATTTAAGAGTTTTATTCAGGATAGACTTAATGCTTTTCTGAACTGTGAGGTACACTGGTACAAGGGAGTGTAAAACATTCAGAAGGGCAGTATTTCATACACCTGTGAAAAATGGGTAAATGACAATGCATGAAACAGCAGAATTGGGTCCTTTATCTTTTATTTTCTATTTATTAATGTTTGAGAAACCAACAGTGATCAGTATTGAGACTGAAGGCAGCATTAGCAAGTGACTAGAATGACCACCTGAATTGAATCTTGAATTTTTGTAACAATTTAATAAACTATTTAGCTGTACTGTTTTAATAAATTTATTGCCTTTTATGTAAACTTTTAAAGAAGAAAAAAGCTTAAGCCCTTTCTTCTCCTGGCTTTAGTGAACTACCAAAAGATTTCTCTAGGTTGTGTAGTTCAAAGTATTAATGTTTTGCTTTAAAATATCTGCTAACATATCTGTGCTCAGGTAATTTTACACAAAAGAAAAAAAAACTAAGGAAAATTGCAGACAAATGAGCCTTAAACCTGGGTGGGGCTAGCACTAAATGGTTGTCTTTAAGTATTTTTGCATGTTTAGTGTGTTATGTTTTCCCGCATGGGCACAATTACCTGTGCCCCCTGGAAAATGGTACCAATGTCAGTTATTCTTTGATTTTATGACAATTAGATTATTAGCAAAATTTAATGTTTTTAAAAGTGTATAGTTCCCTCCCTCTGTGTTTGTAAAATATATAGACAGATTCTTGAAACAAGTTTTTTGTTTATGAAGAATTTGTTCTCAGGCTAGCAGATCATCAAAACCCACAGGTATTTACCTTGAGGTTAACAAATGCCTGATGAATTTGCTGTTGCTGACCTAATAGTCCTCTGAATCCACATATAAGTGGTGTATGATGTTTACTTAACGTGATATTCTGTCTCTGTAACATGCTCAGTGTTTTACCCTCTGTTAATTGCCTGTGTTCTAGAGTCAATCCTTTAAGTGTTAACATTCAGTGAAATGTAAATTGTGTTGAATTGTCCCAGCCCTCACTCAACCCTTAAAGCCATATTGTACTTTTGGTAAACAGTGCATTTGCTTTATGCATTTGTACATCTTATGTAAATTTGAAGGATTTTTAACAAGCGTGTGCCTTTTAGTCTACAGCAGTTTAAAGTCAACAGCAGTATGTCTGTTATCCAAATAAAATATTTTAATCACTCTTTCTCTTGAAGTCCTTTATTTTTTATATTAATCATTTAAAAAATAAATATTGGTTAACTAAAGTAGATGCAAATTATGCATACCACCTAATGTATTTTTCTATACCATGACTACAGTGCTAAACCGTTTGGCCCAAGTCCAGCAAAGCACTTAAATCTATGCTTAAAGTTGAACACATTAGTAGTCCCATAAGAAGTGAATCATGGTGAAGTGCTCTGCTTTGGATAGGAACCAGAGCACTCAGTACTTTGAAAGACTGAACCCTCATAAGAGGCTAAAGATGCAGTAATTTGTGACACAATAAAATCAGACATTATTTAATCTTAAAAATAGGACTAGATTAATCAAAATGACCATTGCAAAAAATATATGTGCAAAGCTTTATTTGTCAGGATAATGTTTGCATACTGAAAATAATTCACTACATAATACAGTTAAAGTTGTAGTCGAATATTCTATAATCGGTAAATTAATTGTGATTGGCCACTCCAATTGCCTGTACAAGGGAGCCTGTGCAGCCCTGTGGACATAAGCATTAAGTTCTGTTATCTTTTTCTCAGGCAAAACTCCTGCTGATGACTCGGTGCTGAATAAGCCATTTACATGAAAGCAGACATCATTTTAAAATAAATATTAAAATAAAATACTGGCGATGGAACTTTCCTCTGATATGCCACTGAAAAAGTTAAATGGGCATGGAAAGCAACCTCAGTTCTGAGCCAACTTGGCAAGGTTCTGAGTGAAATGGGGTCCTCATTACCTTCCAGAATTGGGTCCTCATTTTGCAGCTTAATACAAATGTACCAGAACCAAAAGAACATCTTAAAGTAATATAAAAATGTCTACACTTTCAGCAAAGATCAATTACGATAATCCTATGGAAATACTACTGAATGATTAGGCAATTCATCATACAAAAGTTCTGAGGCGGAGATAGCTAAATCAAAGGAATGCCATGCTCCTCCAACTTGCATCCCTTTTGGTATATTTTTAATCTACTCTTTTATGTGAGATTGGAAGCCACCCACTTTTACAATATATTGTTTGTTTTACCACTGCTGTATACGTGCATTTGGCCAACATGGAATTTAAGATAAAAGGTCTTTTTTAATATATATAAAATACTTACATTTTTTTTTTAATTTAAGAGTTCCATTGTAAGTTGTTTATTTGAAGCTATGTATGTGATATATAAAATCCGTTTTAAAATGCCAGTTTTGAGAAATATGAGAAATTATCTCAAAGTGCCAGACAGTAGTGGGAGCTACACATTAGAAAAGAGGAAAATGTCATTTGCGTAATTGTAAGATAAACTTATAGTTATTTGCTGTTTCCCCTCTGAACATTAAAATAAACTTTAATTTTAGACTTTGGTGTGTCAAGGCTGTTTCTTTACTGAAGTTATAATAACTGCAATCTCATGATTTATTTTTACAACTGCACTAATGAAGGGCCAGATCCAGCACAGGGCTAAGGTCTTTCACCTGTTTGTTCATATTAACTAGGCTAAAATAGGAAAATACTACTAATGATAGATTCCTATGGCACTGTGTAGCCACCAAGAGCCTCTTTGTGCCAGCTATGCTAAAAGGAAGGGAAGTAGATCAAACTGTGTAGAAATGGTGATCAGAACAATTAAAGAACATTAAAGCCATACAAATCCACAGAGATTTGATTTATATCAACGGGTATCCACAGTTCACTTTTGCAGATGTGAATACAAGTTTTGTATTTAGAACCCTGCAAATTTGCGGATATCCACTTTATATCTGCAGGTATCTGCAGATGTGGATATCTGTGGCTCATTTTTGTGTATGCATATGTGGATACAAAATTTTGTATCTGCCCAGGGCTCTAAAAAGACAGCTGTGTCTTGTCAAATATATATCAATTCTTTTGCCTTCTGTAGTCTACTTAGGAGACGATCAGGTGAGAGCTTCCTCTACTAGGAGGGCCATGGCAGTGAAGCATCTTGGAATTATCTTTTACCCCATTTGCAGTGGGTAAAAAGTAACTAGGGGGCATAAGTAGTGAACAGGTTGTGCCATGTTTTTCTTCACAGATCATTGCCTGTCTCTTGCTTGGTGCCCTGGCCCCTGTGTTCTAAGAGGCTATGCAGGGATGATGTGAAGTTTAACATAATTACAGCTAGTGTATTTATTCCAAAAGTGATAAAAGGTACTTTCTATTGCAGTATTGCTAACCACATGCATTGAAATTGCATGAGTCAGGCTCACCAAAAACCCTGAGAGTGGCTTTAAAATCATCAGCGTATATAAAAATAATAGATCTGGTGGAGGGAGGTGGGTTTATTTGCCTTCTATTTTTTTGAACCTTTGGTATTTACATTTTGAAGCTTTTCCCATAAACTGAGAGAGAGAAATTTACTTTTTCTTTAAGAGTAAGGGCTGAAATCATCACTCATCCATATGACTACAGTTTCTTAGACTATAAAGAAAACAGTAATTTGAGACTAATGACAATCATAAGAGTTGCCAATACTGTATAGTGTGTGGCTCTCAAGCTTTTCAGACTACTGTATCACTTTCAGGAGTCTGATTTATGTATCCCAAATTTCACTTCACTTACACATTACTTGCTTATAAAATCAGACATAAAATACAAAAGTGTCAAAGCACACTATTAGTGAAAGCTCATCACCTAATAAACCATCTTGTTATTCTTTAAAGTGCTGCGTAGTCCTGTCCTTTGTTTCTGAAAAATTGCTGACTTTCTCATTTTTACCATATAATTTTAAAATAAATCACTTGGAATACAATGAAATGTAAATACAATATTTATATCTCATATTGATCAAAAGAAAACCAAGTCTTGTATGTATGAAATTTTAATTGGCAATAACTGTTAGTGTGTTTTTTATGTAGCTTGCTGGAAAACTTGGCAAAGACCTCTCCAACCCTGTCCCTGAGAACTTGCTATGACAGAAGAGAGATTAATCCCTCCAAAATTATAAATGAGCACATTAGTTTGAATTTTACAGACCTTGCTTCATATCAGTTTGAACTACAGATTTTTAAATGGCTGTGTTGGACAAATACTTACATGAACATAAACTCTGCTCAACTACAAATCATCTTCTTGGCCATCAATTTGATTGAAGCCAATTTATACATATATTCTTGAAAGTACTGGGTAAAGACTGACATTGTTTGCAATGAGGCATCTTGCCATCTCCAAAATAAAAATCAAAAGGTGACTCATTGCTGTGTCTACGAAAAGATAATTTTGTAACCGAGTCCTAGCTAGCTCAGTTGTTGTATACACTACAGCTGCATGAGAAGGGCAAGGTAAGGTCTATTCCCACCAAACATTTTGTTCACAAGTAGTGCACTAAGAGATTCTTTAGTAATGGAAACTGGGAGAGAGGGAAAGCAAGGCCCTAGACTCGTGCGCGACTGCTCCCTTCCTAACGCTCTCGTAGGGCGGGCGCTGGCTCTCCGTGCTGTGGCTGCCTGCCCGGGGTTACACAAGTGCCGTGTAGACGTTCTGCCAGGGTGGGCGTGTCAGGTTGGTTCTGCTTGAGCTTGCGCGCGGTTCCAAAGCGCGTAGGAACCAGCTGAGTCAGAGCATCACGGAGGGGCAGGGGGCCCCGCAGGGCCCCCCCCATGACTGGGGGAAAGGGTTGGTTGCGGACCAGGAGATGGGTTGGCGGAGGGGGTGGGTCTTAAGAGCCCCGCGCCTCCACAGGCGGTGGGCGTGGCCTTGGCGGCAACTCTCTCTGATAGGGCCGGTGGTGGGCGCGGGCCTG